TGGCAAGGTTTGGCAGTCTTTTTCTTGATTCCTGCTTGTCCATCCCAGACACCGTGCACTTTGTCAGTGGTCGAGGCATGGGCAGGTCCTTACCCAAAGGCCAGTTGTGCCAAGAATAAAACAAGCTCCAAATGGAGTGTCTTCAGTGCTCCATTTCTCTTGGGAATAGATCAGTGCTGCCAGGAACAATCATGTCTCACGTCAACAGAACCCTAAGTTATTTAAATGCCATCTTCTACAGATCTTTGAAGTGGTTGAAGATTACCTATCTATGCAGAATATAATCTCTATGTATCTAAAGAAACCTATTTAGTATATCAAACATGAATGACTATTGACCTATAATACTTAATACCTATATAACTTAAAAACTAAGACTTCATATCAGAATATTAAACAATCTTTAAACAACTATGAAGCAAATGGGGACAATGACCTCAAAATGTAAACAATGTATAAGCATCTTGATCAGAGGTAGACATATATAATGCAATATGATAAATCTATCCTAAAATTGTATCAATATACAAAATGTCTTGAACAGATGTAGAAGCATGCGTGCTTACAATCTGACAAAATAACTTTGCTAGATATACAAATATTATTAACAGAAATATTAGCCTATTCAATATAATAAATATAATTTAAACTTGTATCAATATACAAGAATCTATATAAATGTAAATTGTCCATAAATAATAGCTCACAAGTATTCATTCTATTACTCACTATTATTATTATTTGTGTGAATAAGCTCACACTAATTTACCTATTATTCCATTCAATTTCCCCCTTTTTGTTTCAAAGAGATCTCTCGGCCTACATAATCTCCACCCCCAACCCCCAACCCTATACCAGCAATAATCAACCCATAAATGATGTCCCTAACCCTGAAGACAGACTTTGTTGGGAAAAGTGCCATCGTCTACTTAGATACTGATAAATATGTTTCACCAAATTAAAAGCATTTATTAAGGATAATCAAAGCAATTCCGAGAGTTGGTGGTCAGAATAATAAGGAAGCTCAAAGCTTTCTGTCAGTTGTGAGTCACCAGCTGTGCACACTGCACTACAAGGATTGCCGGCTGGAGAAGCAGGAGAAGCAGCCTGCGGGGAATGTCAGGTTCCTGAGCAGCGGCAGATGGGCAATGAGCTGGGGGGGTGGAGGGGACACGACATGACACGTACCTGGACTGGCAAACTGGGCATCAAACAGGGGGAACGTGAGTCAAATAATTCCAAGCTAACTCCGAATAGAGTATTCTAAGGTTTTTCTTTATTAAAAGGAAACTCACAGATCACAGCAAAGAAATAGGAATGGGGTCTGACATTCAGGTGTAGCTCAGGGGAAGAAGAGAGGCTGAGAGGACAGGATAGCAGTTTTGTGGTAGCCATTGTTATGCCCTAACCTGGTCCAGCCTCTTAAGGCCATTGGCTGAAGAAGGCTCCCATCAATTTTTCTGTAGGTTGCCATTTTGTCTTATTTGTCAGTGTCTTTTGCCTTATAGAAATTTTCAATTTCAAGAGGTCCCATTTATTAATTGTTGATTTCAATGTCTATGCTACTGGTGCTATATTCAGGAGGTTGTCTCCTGTGCCATTGTGTTAAAGGCTACTTCTCTCTTTCTCTTCTATCTGCTTTAGGGTAACTGGATTTATGTTGAGGTCTTTGATCCACTTGGACTTGAGTTTTGTGCATGGCAATAATATGGATCTATTTGCATTCTTCTACATGCCACTGTCATTGAGTGCCTGGACCAGTTTCTTTGAAAATGCTTCCCCCTGCCAAATGTATACTTTTTTGTCAAAAATCAGGTATTCATAGGTGTGTGGATTTATGTCAGGGTCTTCATTCGATTCCTTTGTTTCATGGGTCTGATTTATGCCAACACCAAGCTGTTCTTATTACTATAGCTCTATCATAGAGCTTGAAGTCAGGGATGCTTCTGGAAGTTCCTGTATTGTACAGGGTTGTTTTAACAAACCTGAGTTTTTGCTTTTCCATATTAAGTTGAGTATTGTTCTTTAGAGGTCTGTGAAGAATTATATTGGGATTTTGATGGGGATTTCATTGAATCTATAAATTGTTTTTGGTAAGATTGCCATTTTTACTATGTTAATCCTACCAATCCATGAACATGTGAGATCTTTCCATTTTCTGATCTCTTTATTAGTTTCTTTATTCAAAGATTTAAAATTCATATCATGTAAGTCTTTCATTTGTTTGATTATAGTTATCTCATATATTTTATATTATTTATGGCTTTTATAAAGGGTGTTTCTCTAATTTTTTTTCTCAGCCCATTTATCATTTGTACTTAGGAGGGCTACTGAGTTTTCTGAGTTGATTTTTTATCCAGTCACATTATTAAAGGTGTGTATCATCTGTAGGACTTCCTTGGTAGAATTTTGGGGGTCACTTATGTATACTATCATGTCATCTGCAAATAGCAAAAAGTTGACTTCTTCTTTTTCAGTTTGTATCTCCTTGATCTCCTTTTGTTGCCTTATAGCTCTCGATAGAACCTCAAGTACTATATTAAATAGATATGGAGAATGTGGACAGCATTGTCTTATTCCTAATTCTAGCAGAATCACTTTGAGTTTCTCTCCAGTTAATTTGATGTTGGTTGTTGACTTACTGTATATTGCCTTTCTTATGTTTACTTATGTTCCTTGTGTCTCTGATCTCTCCAGAATCTTTATCATAAGCGGGTGTTGTATTTTTTCAAAGGCTTTTTCGTTATCTAATTACATGATCATGTGTTTTTTTTTCCTTTCAGTTTGTTTATGTGGTAGGTTACATTGACAAATTTTCATATGTTGAACCATCCCTGCATCTCTGGGATGAAACCTACTTGATCATGGTGGATAATTTTTTTTGATGTGTTCTTGGATTTGGTTTGCCAGTATTTTGTTGAGGATTTTTGCATCAATGTTCATGAAAAAATGGTTTGTAATTCTCTTTTTTGTTGCATCTTTGTTTGGTTTGGGTATCAGAGTAACTGTGGCCTCACAAAAGTATTTGGCAATATTCCTTCTATTTCTATTGTGCAGAACAATTTGAGGAGAGTTGGTATTAGTGCTTCTTTTAAATTCTGACAGAATTGTGTTCTGAAACCATCTGGCCCTGGGCTTTTTTGGTTGGGGATATTTTAACGACTCTTTCTATTTTCATAGGGGATATATATCTATTTAAATTGTTTATCTGACCTTGATTTAATTTTGATGTGTGTTACCCAATTAGTCCATTTCTTTTAGATTTTCTATTTTTGTGAAGTACAGGTTTTTGAAGCATGACTTAATGATTCTTTAGATTTTCTGAGTCTGTTGCAGCTCTTAAAATTCTTTTTTTTATTCTGTATGTTTAGTGTTTTGATTATTATGTGGCAAGGGGATTTTGTTTTGGTCAATCCTATTTGGTGCTCTGTAAGCTTCTTGTATCTTTATAGGCATGTTCTTCTTTAGATTGGGAAAGTTTTCTTCTATGATTTTGTTGAATATGTTTTCTGTGCCTTTGAGTTGGAATTATTCTCTTTCTTCTATCCCTATTATTTTTAGGTTTGTTTTTTTTTCATAGCATCCCAGATTTCCGGGTTGTTTTGTGTTAGGAATTTATTAGATTTAATATTTTTTTGGATAGATGAATCTATTTCCTCTATCGTTTCTTTAACACCTGAGATTCTTTCTCTCTTCCACCTCTTGTATTCTGTTGGTGAAGCTTGCAACTGTAGTTCTTGTTTGCTTCCTCAGATTTTCCATTTCCATAATTCCCTTGGTTTACATTTTCTTTATTAAGTCTATTTTAATTTTCAAGTCTTTAACAGTTTTCTTCACCTGTTTGATTGGTTTTTCTTTTTTTTGTGACTTCTTTAAGGGATTTATTGATTTTTTTCCCAATGCTTGTTATTCTTTTCCTTGATTTCTTTAAGGGAAATTTTCATTACCTCTTGAAGAGCATCTATCACCTTCATAGAGTTATTTTTAAATTTTCTGTGATGTATTTCATCTATACTGGAATGTTCAGATCTTGTTATTATAGGACCACTGCATTCTGGGGGTGCCATACTGCTCTTTCAGTTGTTGAATGTATTCTTACACGGACATTTACTCATCTGTTCTTCAAATTGGTGTGGCTTGTGCCAGTGCATTGTCTTTAAAGTTGTGAGGTTTGCGTTTGTGCCTGTATAGTCTGCTGGAGTTGCAGGGGAGGGATGGCCACAGTGAGGGCATTCAGGTGCCTGTTGGTGAGAACTGCAGCAGAGCAGCAGTGGGGTCCACCAGAGATGGGGTAGAGCTTAACTGCGCTGCTGGTGCAGGCATAGAAACAGGAGGAGCACATGATGTGCCCCGGGGTTTAGTGAGGGTCTGGACTTTGGGGCAGTTCAGCTTCAAGGCAGGTAACTCACTTGCTTGTCCAACTGGTATGGGTTGTGCCTGTGTCTATGTAGTCTCCTGGGGTTACAAGGAAGGGATGGTCATGGCGGAGGGGGTTCGGAGGTGTTCAGGTGTGTGAGTCTTGGAGAGACAGAGCCCAGTGGGTGGCAGGGTGGGACACAACCTGGAGGCAGTTGCCTCAACTGCTTGCTGACTCGTGGGGACTGCAATGTTATCATTTCTAAGATGATGCTACAGAATATGCTTTGTATAATTCGAAACCAGGTAGAAGAAAAGCAGAGATAAATATTTTCACTTCCTCTGGCATTTTTTTCCTGCCTTTGAACACTGTAAGCTCTGTCTCAGAGGATAGTGTAGATCAAAACTATTACAGTATCTCTAGATGACCTAGAAGCAAGTTTTAGCAGAAAGCAATGACCAGTCATGTCAGGGACCTCAAATGATGAACTACAATACCAAATCAGAAGACGCAGGCAATCTCCAAAGGCCTCAGATTTAGTTTGAGCTATCCTAGTGATCCCAGCACAGAATGGAGGTCACTCTGAATGCTTAGTTAGCGGGGTGTTACGGGGAGTGTAATCTCATCAGGGCTGTCTTCTTAGGAACTACCACTGTTGGAACGAAGCTTGGATGACAAGGCCTGACCTTCCTGTTGGATTCGGAGGCTGGCAAGCTGTGGACAGCACACCCCAGGAGAACAGTGATGGTAAGCCTGCCTCTTCCCTGTTCACTCCGCTGCTCACCTGGGCGTGTGGGTAGCACACTCATTAGGAACCAACACTAGAAATGTGCTTGCTGGGCATGCATGCAGAATCCAATGCCTGTCCATCAAGTTTCACTTCATCTCAATAGTCCGCTTTACCCTGGTTGTTTTACAACTTTTGGAAAAGGAATATAACTTATATAATTCATCTAATCTTGCTTTGATACGCAGTTTTGAAGACAAGGACAAAAAAATATCTGGGTAAGCACTTTTACTAGGCTATAAAATATAACTTCAGCCCTTCCTGATCCACAATGATGAAGTGGTAAAAGGCAAGAGGAGAAATAAAAGTTGAAAAATAATTATAAACTCCTTATTAAATTGTTGTTCTTCCAAAGGCTGATGTCTTATGTTCGCTGGTCTCTTTCAAAACTTGAGTGGGTAGATGTTTCTCTTCTAACTTTCCAACCCTGCTAATTAGGAGCAGCTGTGGCCAACCCCAGATTTTTTTATAGAATTACACGGTTTTGAATATATGATAAACACCAAAGGACTGCAAACCCTGGCTGCATTCATCTCTTTCCTCTGCTGTTGGTCTGAGACAGAGATGTTGTATTTAAGTCTCCAGAGATATGGAAGCATTCAGTCCACAGTCACAATGAAGCTATGCGGTGATGCTGGATTTTATGGAGAATGCATCATGCTATCGATTGTTCTGGACTTTATAGTACAAGGAGACTCAAAGAGCTACAGCAGCTAATCTCTTAGAAACTGTGAATGGATGACTAAACTTTCAGGGATCTTAGTAACATAAGCATGAGCATGCCAAGGCTAATGAGCATGGTCAGTGTCCAAATCTACAACTCACCCTGACAAATGTCATAAACAACAACAAAAAAAGCAATAAACAAAAAAGAAAAAACAGTCAAAGCCAGATCAGTACAACTGCCAAGGATATATCAGGGACAGCCCTAGTTCAGTTTCTGATGCTGTGATAAACACCATAACCAAAACCAACTTGGGGTGGATAAGATTTATTTCAACTCGCAGTTATAGTTCATCATGAAGGAAAGTCAGGCTAGGTGCTCAAGGTGCCTTGCTCAGTCTGCTTTCTTATACCACCCAGATCCGCCTGGCCAGGGGATGGTACCACCTACAGTGAACTCAGTGCTCTGACGTCAATCACTGATGAAGAAAATGTCCCCACAGGTCTGCCTGCTAGAGGCATTTTCTCTGTTGAAGTTTCCCTCCCCTGAATGACTCTAGCTTGTGCCAAGTTGACAAAAACTAACAAGGAGAATTTGAAAGAGGGATAAGCCTGACTGGTGCCTGTGTTTGTAGTCAGCAGAAGAGAATTAGGAATAGTGTTGGCCCAGTATTCTTTTCCTGGCCTTTACATTTGGGATTGAACTGGCATTTCTAACAGAACTCTTTTGATCAAGCATATTTGGTCACCTGTCTTCTGCAGCCAGCGAAAACATTTAGACAAAGTCACTGGTGAATCTGGGGAGCACTGGTGCCTGTAGGGCCCCCCTCAGTGCCGTGTTAATGGGCAGAATGAAAAACAACCAACTCATACTGTCTTCCTCCTTGTTGCATGTTCCAGGCATGTACCGCTGCGGCCCGGCCTCTGTTCAAGCTGTTAAGCATGGCCACGTCTGCTTCCAGTTTGATGCTCCATTTGTTTTTGCAGAGGTAAGTGGAAAGCTGGAGGAAAGTGTCAGCTCCCACCGCAGCCCCTTAACACATCAAAGAGTTAGACACCAGGTTGTTACTTCTCGAATTCCCAGGTACATGGCGTATGCTTCGCGTCAACAAGACATCTTTCCATCCTTGGGTTCTTAATGCCTAATGAGATACCTACTTAACGCTTTCCAGACTTGAAGTCTTGAAATTGTTTTCCTACTAAAAGCAAGAGATTTGCAACCCTGAGTTAAGTTCTGAGTAGCTAGGAATTAGAATCAGCAGTTCTGAAGACATTAAGTGATGAACTAGATCACTCAACTAAAACTTAGTTAGAGGCAGCAGCAATAGCAGCTGTGGTAGCAGCTCAAAAGAGGAGGTTATAAAGAGCTGCTCAAGAAGAGTAATTCGGTCCACTTAATGGGTTGATGATGATGTTAAGTGAAGGGCCTAAGATTCCAGAACAACAGGGCAGGAGCTAGAAAGAGAGGAAACAGCTAATTAAATCAATGTAAGAGGCATCAGGTAAAAGAGAAGGCTGGGAGTCTCTTGGGGGGGGGGTGTGAAAGGCTGAAATCCCGGATTCCCTTGAGATATATTTGCAGCAATCGGCCCTGAAATGGGCACTCCTGTATCCATCTCCTTCTGGACAATCACTCGGCCTGCTGTTTGACGCTCATAGCGGGCCTCTTAAAATGAGTATTGCAGGCCTCCCCACTCAACAGACAAGCAGGCAGAGTGCCTAATACCCTTTCCCTGATAATCCAGCTAATAAGGAGGAGTGCTGGATTTTGAAAGCAGGTGGGCACCAGAGTTTAGGCTGGCAGCCACTCTGGAAAGAATGAGTATTTAGTGTTAGCTCTCATCAGGGAAGGCCATGGGGAGCTCAGGGACTCAAGTACTTGAGATGTGTAATCCTCAGAGAGGAATTTGTCAGTAAGTCCATTCACACAGTGGTAGTTAAATGTGTGACAATACAAAGAACACATATGCATAACCATTGTATGAGCAATATAGTCAACATGAGATTGCATTTGTACATGGAGATGCATTCATTGAGAAAACTGAGTCAAGAGGTGAAAGACAGCAAAGGTCTCAATACTCTAAAGCAGGAAGAGACCAGGCAACCATGATTCCCTGTGTAAAAACAGTTGGTCCCCTACCCATGATAACTCTACTCATAATCTTTTAATTTTGTAATGGTGCAAAGAAATACAAATTCAATAGAAACCACACTTTGGATTTTGGATTCAGAGAGTCTTGCTCAGAGAGTCATGTACTGTTAGATCCTCTCGGATGATACTGGGTGGCAGCGAGCTGCAGCTCCCAGACACCCCATAACCACAGGGAAAATAGTAGACCCCCAACAGTGGGCTCTGCCACTTAGCTATGCTGTCCTGTAGGAGAGGCATATAGAATGCATTTTCAGCTTATCAAACCTTCAGTTTATAATGAGTTTAATCAAACTATAATCTCTTCAAAAGCAAAGAGTATCTTAAGGCCATAGTCCTAGGAGCAGAGCTCTGCGGGGTCACAGGGGAAGGAGTAATGGTCTGGGTTTATTCAGACAAAGGAGATTAGGAAGAGGGTAGGAGCGCCCAGTGAGATGGCTCGGTGGGTGAAATCACTTGCTGCCCAGCCTGACGGCCTGAGATCCATCTCTGGGTCCACATAGCAAAACCCAACTCCTAAAGTTGTCTTTTGACCTCTAGATACATAACATGGTGCACACATTAAATAAATAAATTTGAGAGAAAGGAAGAAGCTAAGGGAGAAAAAGAAATTTCAGGCAGAGGGATGACCTGGGCATCCAAGGGCTGTGTGTGGACAGCTAACAGCTCTACAGAGTCACCAGCAAACTAATGACGTATTGGGGTGTCAAACAAAGGTAAAGTCTAAAGGCCTATGTAAGATCTTCACAACTTGAGAAATTAATTCTTTATCCTATATGCTAGGGAGAGTTATCAATGCCAGAGGCATCAACCAGGGCACTGACATCTTGTGGGTTGGTTGGAATAGTCACTGAAGATAGGAGACCTACCTGAGAGATTGTTGTCTCTCCATGAGAGAGATGGGAAGGCTTGGTGTCATTCTAAAAAAAAAATAAAAATAAAAATAAAAGCACCTGACAAAAATATCTTAGGGAATGAATGATTTATTTGGCGGAATGGGCCGTTGTGATGTGGAAGGTATGGCAGCTGAGGCAGGAGCATGAAGCAATTGGCTACCTTACCTCAGGAAGTTTCCTGGAAGCAGGGTTAGCCTGCCCTGAGCAACTCACTTCCTCCAGCTACAGCCAGCTCCTAAAAGATCCACAAGCCTCCCCCAACCATGTCGTCAGCTGAGAACCAAGTGTTCAAACATATGATCCCATGCGTCACTCTCACACTCAAAGCAAGACAAACGGTAGTCACCAGAAAAGGAGGAAGAGCATTGAGAAGTACGAGGGAAATAAATGTAAGCATTTAGACAGCAGAATCACAGATGTGAAGTGCACAGAAGGAAAACACTGTACCTGCCATGGCGGTTTCCAGATGCCTCGGGAGACTGGTCTCACTGTGCTAGGAGTTTTATCCATTTGATTTCACTTTGGCATTTGAAAATTCGTACAAACCTCCCCTGCTGTCATCTGACAGTTTATGACACTCCGAGAATCTCTTAATGGGAGATCATTCTGAAACCCATGAAGCTTTATTTCTATACTTTTTTTTTATTGTACCTTATCGGTACAAAAAAGGAGAGAGGCTGGCCTCCTTACAGTAGTGAAAGGCCTAATAGCTGTTAATGCAAGCGCTTTTTGCTGTTATTAAATATAGATCAGGGTGTTGGGAATGTCATCAGGATTTGCAGATAATTGCCCTCTCTTGCTGCAGGAGAGGCTTCTTTGTCAGAGGGTGCAGGCTGTTGCTTTAGGCTGGGCTGTTTTCCAGGTTCAAGATATCTGTCAGAGATATATGAGCTGCCTAAAAGCAAATGAGGTTTCTTCTCTCCAGAGTGCTCGCCAGAACCCCATAAGGGTGAGCTGGTAATTTTACTATGGGTCTCCGTGACTCAGTGTGAAGCTGCCGCTCCTTCCCTCCCTCCATGTGTGTTCTCCTTCCTCTTCCTGCCCCAGGGATGTCAGTGGTAGCTTGCCTCTTCTTGCCTCTCAGCACACTGACATCTTAGCCCTTCCTTTCCAGCTCCCAGGCCATCCGGTTCATTGATTAATCATCAGCTTTTCTAGGGCTTTCCTTGGACTCTGCATGAAAACAGAACCTTAAAGGGGAAGAAGACATGGAAAGTGTTCTCTCCTTTCTTCTCTTCCACTTTTCAAAGAAAGAAATGTGGGGTCCCACACAACATATTCATCCACACTTGTGGGAAGGAGTACGGATTAAGAAAGAAATAGACAAAAGGCAACAGAGTCGGGAGGGCATCTGGTAAATACTGAGTTTTTCCTCATGTTTATTTCTCTCAGCCTTTATATGCCCCATCCAGATAGGAGGGGAAGGCAAAAGCCTGCTTTACCAAGATACAGAGAACAAAGTAATTGCCTTCTTAATACCAAACATCAAGTAACCACACCCTAGGTCAAAGCATCGAGCTAGTAAATACACCGTAGGTCGAACCTCCTGTCGTATAACCTTGAAGGAGCAAGAACAGGTCTGAACTCTCTGACCTTTAGTCAAGGTAGACCAGATCCATTTCTGTGGGCTCTCACAAGGGGACAGAAGAGAAGATGCTGAGTATCCACCAGGGATTCTCTGCGCCTCCCTCCACATGCCTTCTTCATATTGTTGAGTTCCCTCAGGTCCAAAGAGCCAGGTGCCACCTCTCTCCTCAGAACAACATGGCTCCGGGCTTCTGAATAGGGAAATGGAGATTAGAATGTCTTTGCATCAGAAGTTATCTGCATTCCAATGTTCAGCTGCCTCAGTGATTCTCAGCAAAGAGCTGCTTCTTGGGAAAAATCATTGGCTCCTACCTTCACTTCTGCCCTTTTTACCTCCTCACCCCAAGGAACATACATACACCAATGCGCAGGCATGCCTATACACCTGCAAGTCATGTACACACACATATACACACACAGACACACACCCTTCACATACCACATACTATATACATACACACATGCACGTGTGCAGAAACACACATACACACATGAATGCATGGGCATGTGATTTACACACACACACTATACATATACATGCACACCATTATGTCTCAAACATACATTCATCCCACACGCACACACAAACCATACATCAAACACATTTCATGAAAACATACACACACGCACACATCTGGGATAGAAGCTCCGTGAAGGTAGGGTCTCCAGTATTCTCATCAGTAGGAGCAATATCTGCTGCAATTAATGAATGAATAAATGCATGAATGCATGTGTGTATATATACATACATACAAAGAGCTAGCAGAGAACGTTGATAAGAACAGCATCTTGAAGATGAGGACATTGCTGCATCTTGGGCTGTGAGTCCTTATCAGTGACAGGAACATGTGAGACCTTGCAGAGATCACCCACAGAGAAGGCCCAGCTTCCCATACTCACAAGCTACAAATGGCAAGTACAGGGTGAGTGATTGACTGTTGAGCCAGGAGGTCCCTGACTGAGCAGGAATCTAGGACACCAGTAGACTCTCGGGGACACACTGCTCTCTCTGTGGAGCCACAGCAAGGTTGTTTCCACAGATAAATGGACAAAACAAATACTTTGTCCTTGGGTCCTGAGCTCTAAAAGGCATCTCCATCCCAATATCAAAGAGCCTGGCGTGCACCATGCTGTGGGCACCAGCAACAAGTTTGCAGAGATCCTCCAGCCTGCTGAGTGTCCAGCCTGCCTCCCTGAGCCCTCAGGACCTGACAAACAACATGACCTGCACAGGAAGCACCATGTCTGACCAGAGGCAAAAGTGCCATGCTGTGAAGACAGCAACAACTGTCACAGCAGGAGCCCGACTCTATGTGGATACAGTCTCTCTGAGGACAGAGGAAGGACTTAGGTATTCACTTAGATTAGCGTCCATTCAGACGAAAACCCAAGATTGGCTACAAACACAGATGTAGCGTGTACTCTAATTGTTTTTAATAATAAAAACCCAGAGTTAGATGGAATTTTTCAAGCCATGTTCACGCGGTTTTTTTCTCGTTCTGGACTAAAAGATTCGTATGAAACTAGCAAGGTGGGGATGATGGCTTTTCGTGTTCTAGAAGCCAGAGCTGAAATTCGGAGTTAAGTTAACATGACTTCCTGCAGGTTCACAGCCAGCATCGAAGCCAAGGTTTCCCACAGCTAACCCAGCACCTCTCTGGACCTTGAGAGTCTTTGCACCTGCCCATCTGCTGCCTGCCTTGCTTCATTCCTCAGCTCATAGACTGACTGTAACATGAGGGGCTGTTTGTTTGTTGGGGGTTTCTGTCCTGCCCAGTACCCCACAGCCGGCAAGCCCAAAGAAAACCACACAAAGATCTCTATTATTTATAAAGCTGATTGGCCCATTAGCTCTAGCCTCTCACTGACTCTCACATCTTGATTAACCCATTTTTCTGATCTATTTTAGCCATGTGGTTCAGTACCTTTTTCAGTGGGGCAGCTCACATCCTGCAGCTTCGTGGCCTGGGCAGGAGTGGGAGGAATCAACTTCCTCCTCCCCAGAATTCTCCTGTTCTCCTTGCATCATTTTCACTTCCTGTCTGGTTTTCCCGCTTACACCTCCTGCCTGGCCAATCAGCATTTATTTAAAACATGATTGACAGAATACAGACAATTCTCCCGCACCAACTGACTCCCATGCGTCTTACACATTTCCACCGGTTACTCTTCGGCCACCTCCACATTGCTCCATGAACCCACAGAGAACTTTGGTGTAGCCCTCTTACTGTGCTCATTGCACTGTATTCCAGAAGTCCTCAGGCCTGGATATTCATTACAGTCCTCTGAGACCACTTTAAGACGTGACCTATTTAGAACCCCACCCAAGCCTCCTCCATAATAAGACATCTACCTGTTTTTAGCAGTCCCCCTACACACACACACACAACACACTCAGATGTTTGTGACTCCCAGAATCTCCCCTACCCCAGTGTCAACTTTAAAATGGAAGAACCAGATCTATTTTGCTCAACATTACAGCTCTGGCACTCTGGATACTATCTGAGAACGCTATTAAATAATACATAATTATCGATAACATTTACTGAGTGTTACCTCTATGCCAGGCACTATGGTAAGTAGTTCACGTGCATTTACTTCAGTTAATTCTACCAGTAATTCTGTGAGGAAGGCGCTTTTATTACCTCACTTAAAGGAACAGAAGCTAAGCCTAGAGAGGGCTGGAAAAACATCCGGTAACTACACCGGTAGTGGAGCTGTTTCCCATTCATGCTTCGGTAATACATGGATCTCCAAAACAGAGAGATATGCACCACGATAGGGGCCAGTTATATCACCTTTCAGATAGATTTGCCACTGCTTCTAGAAAGCACAATGGGGACACAGAACCTTGGAAGAGCATGGGTTCAGCTTCATTGCAAGGCACTGTCTCCAGTGTCTAGTTTAGATGGTCAATCACCAGGAATTGTCTAAATTCCTCTTGGATGGTTTAATTATGCTTTTAAATTCATCTTTTTTTTTTTTTTTTGCTACCAAGTAACACAGTTACTGTGAATGAAACAGGCAAGAATTTATACTTATCTAAGAAAGCCTGAAGTTGGCAGTCCAAGCTTGGTCCCTTTGAATGGCTCAAAGGGCTGGCAAGTCTCCATCCTCCCTGCCATTTTCTCGTATCTGACCAAGCTTTTATTCACTGTCCCAGGTAGACAACAGCTCCAAGCAGTATGTCACTCCCCGTGAAGACATGTAAGGAATAAATGGGGGGATAGACTCTCCTAAGTCCCTCTCTGTAGAGGTCAGAATTCTTCCCAGAAAGTCTCGTAGCTGACTTTCTTCCCTCTTACAAATGGATTGATTGTACGGCCTTTGCTAGCTTAGCAGCATCCAGGAAGGCAAGAAGTGAGCATGATGCTTCCAGTCTCCCCAAACAGGGTTGAATTTACCAGGAAGAGAAAGGAAGAAAAGAAACGTTCACTGATGAGACAGCTGACCGTGCCTGCCTCAGACATTCTCCTTGATTCATGAATGATCCAAAGTGGATTCCCCTTCAGAATTGTTTAAATCCTTTATTTGCTTATTGGTTTGTTTGGTGTGTGTGTGTGTGTGTGTGTGTGTGTGTGTGTGTGTGTGTGTGTGTGAGAGAGAGAGAGAGAGAGAGAGAGAGAGAGAGAGAGAGAGAGAGCATGTGCATGCCATGACTACTGTGTGGCAATCAGAGGACTCTGCGGAGTTGGTTCAGTCCTGGCTTCCTTGCATGGGTTCTGAGAATCAGACTCTAGCGGTCAGGCTTGAGTGGCAAGCACTTTAACTGGCAGAGCCGCATCTCTGGCCCCAGAATGTTTTTAAAAAGAGTTTGCCTGCTGGCTTCACTTCAGTCGAATAAAGGAACACACCAGTGCTAGGGTCTGGATGTCTGTGATATGGAGCATCAAAGATTTTAGAAACAAGAAATTTGCTTTTTTTCTTAATCAAGATATGACACGTGTGCATCTCTATGTGGTCTGAGATGGCAGTGTGTGAGGACAAAAGATAATCATTCCAGTTCTTCAGCCATTTTGTGTGCTGAGAACTTTATGCTTTCTCAGCATTCAAATGTGTACCACGGATTGTATTAACCAGTGCCGTCGAAAAATCAGGAGGAATTTCATCAGTCAAATTGAAATGTGTTGCTCCAGACTGAAGTCTTTCTCATGTCCTTCACTTCACTTTCTTGTCTCTAGTAACCCCTGGTCCATTCTCTTCTTCAAGATCAGCATTTCCTTTTCCACAAATAAGTGAGAACGTGGGGTATTTGTCCTTTCTGTATATGGCTTATTTCACTTAACATAATGCCTTCTTACCACCTGTACTACTACAAATGATAAGATTTGATGCATATTGGGGCTAATATTCCTTGCCTATGTGTGTCCCATTTGTTTACGTATTGACCCACTGGCAAGCGTCCGTGTTAATTACGTTTTAGCTATTGTGAATATTGTACTTTGTAATAAAAACATTGGATGATGGCTAATGCTCTCCTTTCCTGTTTCCAGGTCAACAGCGATCTTGTTTACATTACAGCTAAGAAAGATGGCACTCATGTGGTAGAAGGCGTAGATACCACCCATATTGGGAAATTAATTGTGACCAAGCAAATTGGAGGAGACGGCATGCAGGATATCACTGATACTTACAAATTTCAAGAAGGTAATTTGCTACAACCAAATGTATTTTTCCCCAATTCCGTTTAGTACTTATTCACTGTCAGAATGAAATATGTTTCAGAGAATGCCCTGGCATTTGCAGCATCTGGTATTAAGGGCAGAAACATAAACTCTCGCGAGCAACAGACACCCACAGTTCTTCATTATTTTGCTTGCTTGTTTTGAGCAGAATTCCCCTTCACATGGCTGGTGAAGTGAGTTTTCAAATTCCATTTTAGTAGACCATAGAATGTGTTCTTGCTTATATGAACCTTAATTGTTAGTAATCTATTATAACACACTATCTGCATTATATCAACAAAGATAAATAATAGAAATTTAAGTCACTTCTTCATATTTATTAAGTACTTTACAAATTATTTTTAACACATTGTTTCATTAGGTTGTCCTGGAAACCTGAGGCATATGACAGATTGATAAGAGAGTGCAATCTCACTAATATAGGTCAATTGGGTTGAAGGCCAGTTTCAATTACAAAGTAATGTTTTGATGGAGGCTTGTTAACTTTGATTATACAGTATATGTCGAATGGTACTATTGTGTTCGGTTATATCTCAATCAATACTATATCCACAGTCCTAACAGTGAACAGGACACAGCTTCTGTCCCCATAACAGAGTTAGAATCATTATACAGAGAAAGCTGTGGGAACAGGGAAACACTGGGTCCTATCAAGAGGGTCCAAAGAAGTGAAGCTTAGGAAAAGACCACATTTAAAGAAAACTGGACTAGGGGTTCCAGGCAGGGGAACTATAGTCATAGAGAGGAAATGTGAAGCAGTGCTAGACATTTAGGGAATTGCCGGCCTCCATACCCCTTCTAGCTTAGAATGCCTGGTGCCATCTGGGCGAGAATGCAGGCAGTTTCGAGAGTAGAAAGATACAATATCTTTTGGAAACGTTTCACTTCCAGAGATTCTTAGAAGTGGCGTTTATTTTAGTGAATGGATGAAAATTATGACTAGTTAGCATACGCTAAATATGCATTGGCATTCCTGAAGTGCCAATGTGTGCGGGGGTTTGTTTTAAATGTTTTTTACTGCCTTCTTGCTCTTATTTACAAAAACCATTTGCATTATAAAGACAAAGCCTGCTGAACTGAGACAGGTGTGCAGTGTTGGAGTTTAGAGTTTCTGGCATTTGAACTTGTGAAATTTTACGGGTTTCCTGAAATCGTTCAGTCTCTGTATTTGGGTGTCATCCACTGCACAACATAAACACACAAAAGCAAACAAACCTCTCTCCTTCCTCTAGGTATTTTGACTTTTCTCTAGAAGGGAAGTTAAAAACAGTATAAACACAATGAAGCCACGCAAACAAACAATGCATTCTCTTACTGAGATGCAAAGAAAAAGATTTGAAAAAGCAAAAAGGAAACTCCTTAGAGAACGTGGAAGAACCCACTGGATCCATTGCAGTCACTCAGCTGCCCACTCTTAACCACACATCACAAGCTCATGGAGCTAGGGACACCCCAGCCCTGCTGTCTGGCTTACTGTGAGGAAAAGCAGAGTCCAATCCTTGCACTGCTTGCCTGCCGGAAGACAGGGACTATGGCATGGGGTGGGCAGCTGATCCAGGTGCAAGGAAGGACACCCAACCAGAAAGGGGCCTGAAGTGCTCACAGTACTCATGATATAAACCTATGTCTGAGCAGAATTGATGGAATAATTCATTTAGTCCCAGTTTGATAGAATGCCCCCTAAATGCCATGAGGTCATGATGTATCCACTGGCTCAGCACACTGAACTGGCACCTACTGTGTTCAGTGTGACTGAAACACTGACTGGGCTCAGTACTAGAGCACTTCCCAGGTTCGGGTCCCGGTACCACCAAAACTCCTATCCAAGGAGTAAATAAGGATTTCAAGTAGTGCTGGAGAAAGAGTTGTTCGGGAAGATGGGTAGAGCAGAATGAACGGCTTTTCTTTTCTACTGATGAGACGGTAGATGCCTCAGTGGACGAGCTCACCATCGCCTGTGAGCAGTGCTTAGACATGGGACCGGATGCTAGATCAAGGCAGCTGTAAAAACTACTGGAAAGAGATTAAAGCATTCAGCAGAGCCTAGCCACCATTGACTGTCGCCTCCAAGGTAGCAGTGGGGACCAAATAGGAATGGGGCCAGGATTGGATGTCACAAGAGGAAGACACACACCTGTCTTGAGAGAGAAGTTGGAGCTTGACTGTGATATCCAAATGTTAAAATGCGATGCCCAGCTCTCCATGGGGGAGACTTCTGAGGTCCAATGCCACACCTCAGCAAGATGATGAGACTCAGGGAAAGGATGGGAGGAGTTCTGAACCAACTAGAACTCCTAATACATGTGATTAGTTGTAAGAAACATTTCAACCACTTTCTGGGCTATGATTGGGTCCCAAGTGGAGAATTCATCTCTTCATCAAGGATGATGCATGTATTCACATTCTAACTTGGCAAGCATCCCAGGGGAGTGCTATTCTGGAACTCTAGGGACTCCATCAGCATGTAGTGGGGAGAAGGATTGATTATTGATGACTGCTCCAGGCATACGATAAAGCCAGCAGCGATTATTCCTGGCTGTGGCTTTGACACTCTGATTCTCATGGTACATCTTCTATAGCCTCTTTGAATCCACATATACTGAAGATGGACACTATATCTATATCTATGGAGACAATTGAGGACAGAAAAAAATTATACCAGATGCCAGATTGGGCTGATTTATAATTGTAAAGAGATTGTTTTTCACTTCAACTAAAACTTAATATCAATTTTAACTTTTTTTCAAAAAATGTAAGATTAAGAAATGTTAAAGCTTTGGAAACCAGAATTCGGAAAAATGTTTTGTGGCAATATGCAAGATGTCCTCTTTTGTTATGGTATATGGACCCATTCCCTCTTTAGTTTCTCCATTATTCCAGCTATGGCTTGTATTTCTCTCTCTCTCCCTCTCTCTCTCTCCCTCTCTCTCTCTCCCTTCTTCCTCCAATAAGAAATTAATCATCTCCTATATTGGATTCTTTCTCTAAACAAAACTGTTTGCAACACTGTTTCTCACCACACATGCCATGCCCATTCTGTGTTCTTCCTTATATGCTAGTCACCATCTTGAGAGACCTGGGTGTGTGGCGGGGGGAAATTATATCTAGCCCGTTCCTTTCCTGTCCATCCCTGTCTCACTGGGTACCATCTGCAAACAGAACACCCTCGAGGCCACTCTTAGCTGCACAGTGGCAGTGGGACCAGTGTCTGCAGGTGCCAGCCTGCTTCCCTGCCTAGCTTCCTGGTGGGGCTCACCCTTTCCTTGACATTTTCTCTTGATTCTATAATAAAACTCTCTCATGGTTCCATCACAGCTGCTCCTGCCCCCTCGTGTTTTCATCTGCTGCAACACTAAACTCGCCTTTCTCCACTCCCTGTCGAACACCCCTTGATTTCAGTTGCCCTCTCTGAGTTCTGTGCCTACCAAATTCAGGTTCTTCCTGATTAGCCACGGTTGACTCTCACAGGTGTAGTGACCACTCCCGGGCCTACATCTCACCACAGACTTTACACGAGTGTGCCACAGAAACCTGAAGTCAAATATTCCCAAGTTCTACTCCCTCTCCTCTCCCCTGCCTGGTCCATTCATTCTTCACTTTCTATTCTAATGAATACAACTACCTGAGAATTAGGTTGGCAAACCCTCTACTTGTCCCATCTGAAACAACCCTCCAAGCAACTTTTCTCTCTGATTCCTTAGCCACGGTCTGAGAATGAAACAGCACCCCATGTAGAAAACCTTAATAGAGAGCCTGACTCAGGCTGAGGGTCCAGCCAGAGTTAGTTTCCACGTCTAATAGTAGTGCTACCACAGCTACTGTAGTGTTTGGAGTATCTTATACTATGGCTGTTTTGACTGGAAATCAGCCGTAGCTTGCCACCCCCTCCTCAGGGCAATCCTTTCTCTCCACAAAAGCCATACTCCATGACATGTAAGCCTGAGCCCATCAAAGCCAAAAACACAGCCTCCTGTCTTCCCAGTGCTTCCAGAATGCTCCAGATATGACCCATAAAACCTTGATAGCTTGCCTTTTTGGTCTTCTTGCTATACTGTCTGATCGTCTACAAAGGCCAGATGAGCCGCTGTCACTTCCTTCTTGTAGCTAGGCCCTTGCATGTACCCCCAACTTCGCTCACTGTGTTGAAAAGAGGACTCCCGTGCCACCCAGGCACACTAAGGGTATTTCGTGCTTCCAGGGTCCACATGATAGCATCTGTCCCAGCATCTGTGGTCCACAAATCTATACTGTGATAGATCTTCACTCGCCCCTCTGTACCCTTGAGTGAAGGACTGCCTTCCTTCCTTCTTTCCTTCCTTTCTTTTTTGAAGGAATCTGTCTTAATGACACTGAGCACAATGCCCAGTGTCTGTCTCCAGGGTTGTGCTCCAGGCTTGTGCTCCAGGGTTGTGCTCCAGGGTTGTGCTCTCAGGACAGCCTCTCAAGTTGCTCAGAGCACAAACTCTCTTTGCCACTTCTTGCCTGAACCGACTCAGCTCCTGTATCCCAGGGCAGCCCCTCTCTGGTGCTTTGCCTGGGCTTCCTGTGTTTTGCCTAAATGCACATTTGGCACGCATCCAAAGTGATAATTGTTAATGCCTTCCTTCTCGTGGACCTGTTTGCCAGATGATCGCTGCTAAAGTAGTTTCCTGAACTTTCAAGGCTGGACTTTCTCGTCCTCTCTTCCTGTCTTCCTCTAGTGACTCTATAAATATGTACTCAAGCCAATTCTGGTAATAGACCTATTGTTTCTGGCACATTCTTGCAGGCTTACAGTTAAGTTTATTGCAAACATGCATGCGCACACATACACACACACACACACACACACACACACACACACACATCTGTTGATCTGTCGGGGGGTTTTTCTCTGCCCTCCCAGGCTAGTTTCCATTTATTACATGCCTACTCCCTCTGATCCACTTAATGGCCCTGTGATGTACGTTCCCTTATAACACCAGTGGTGCTCATATTGCCTGTCTTGTAGTTGTTATGACGTTTAACAGAGCTACCGCAAGCAAGCACCCATCCCACGGCCGGTCACATAATTAGCATTTAGTGAGAGTTAATAGCATCTACTAGCCTCCTCACCATCATTGAATTCAATTATTATTTTCCAACCTAATTCTCGGTGTAGTAGAAGATAACATCTTTAAATGAGCATGGTTGGAAAAGCCAGCATTCTTACCTTAAAGTGATCTTTCCCACCAACCATTCTGATACCTAGCTCTCATGGACCAAAGGACTTACTTCCATCTTTTCGTTTCTGTCCACCACAGTAAAGAACCTCTTTACCGAGCTGCTTATGGTAGAAAAAGAGAAGGGACACCATCTTCTGTACTTCCAACCGTCTGCCCCCATAGCCAGGTACTTTACACAAGTTTTGTAAGCACCGTTAGTCTACAGCTTGTAAGGTAGTCAGCGTCTGAGCATAGCCACTCTGAGGCCACACCTATGTCTCTGTTGACTGCTTCCTCACCTGCTTGTGCTGTTTCTTTCTCTTCTCTGGCTATGCATCTGTCTTCCATTCCCTGTGTTAGTATGTTCTTTCTGTGTCTTTGTCTCTCTGTGTGTCTCTCTCTGTCTTTCTTACTCATGCTCACGTGTGTGTATGTGCACGTGCGCGCTCATGCATGTGTGCATATGTATGTGTGTGTGGTTGAATTTGACGAACAAGGTATGGAACACAGTACCTTGCTAGACAGGTGTTTTTCTATTGAGCTGTGCCCCCAGCATTTGGATTTTGAAGCAGGATCTTGTAGGTAGCCCAGGCTGGCCCTGAACTATGTTCTTGCATCAGCCTCCCAAGTGTGAAGATTATAGATGCACACCACCATGCTTGCCTCTTCCTCTCCCCTTCACCACTTTCACTCTTTCTTCCTAGAGCAGATCCTTTCTCTCTTTTTTCCCCCAACCGCAACGCCATCCCTCCAGAAACTCACCATAAGACATATTAATCAATCAATACTTACCCTTCAGATAGTCTTACAGTAGAACGGCACTCCAACAGTGGTGCCTCAAAACAATGAGCTCACACTGAAGTTACAAAGCTATAGGGATTTTCCTGCATGCCTTTGTGAGCTCAGGAAAGCTGTGAACCTTCAGCAGGTTGAATCAGGCTTCCTCTAGGGGTCTGACCCAGAAGCCCTTGGGTAGGGAGAGTTTAAGAACTTACCAGAGTCTAGTGCCTTGAAGTAGTGCACTTTGGGAGTTGGTGGGCACTGCAAAAGGCATAGAAGGGCATGGAAGGACCCCCTCCTGGCTCCAAAGTCAGCACAGGAAGGATCTAATTGAAAGGATTAAATGGGAGGAGGGTTGGGGGGGGAACATCCTGTTTGGGTGCAGGGAATTCTATGGATGGAAGAAATATGTACATCAGGAAGTGATCATTGTCTCTCAACTCTTTGCTTAGCAGAACCTAAATTCTAATCTCATGGCTGGAACTCAGGGAGGGAAGCAAATTAGCACCTGTCAAACCCAGAAATAATGACCCTAAAGAGTGGACCCATTGTGCAAGCCCTTTAGTAGCCCTCATAATGGGTATACCTTGCTCGGCCATCAAGTTTCCTGACAGCCCAGGTAGCCACTACCTTTCTGGAAGCTTGGTTTTGCAAAACACCACCACCTAACACAGTGGTGGTGAGTGCATCTATATCCCAGAAAGGCTGATGGGCTGTCAGAGGCCATCAGCAAGGGAGGCACAGAGTATTTTGAAGTCAGTGTCTTCTCATCAGAGTATTATTTCCCTTTCCCTGTCATTATCTGTGGATCTCTCCTAGGTCAAGAAGAAGAGAGACTGGCCCTTGAAACCGCTCTGATGTATGGAGCCAAAAAGGCCCTCAACACTGAAGGAGTTGTCAAATCAAGGTCTGATGTGGACATGAACTTTGAGGTGGGAAACGCTGTGCTGGGCAAGGACTTCAAGGTCACCATCACTTTCCAGAACAATAGCTCCAGCCTGTACACCATCCTGGCCTATCTTTCGGGCAACATCACATTCTACACCGGGGTCTCCAAGAAAGAATTCAAGAATGAAGCATTTGAAATGACACTGGAGCCCTTATCCTGTAAGCTAACAAATATGTTGGTCTCTCCAGGGCCTGTTACCTGTCTCTGTCTCACTGTCAACACTGCCAGGGCTCTGGTTCTCACCAGATCCCAGTACTGGGGGGATACATTGAGAGGGAGCTTTAGCAAACCCTCAATTCTTTCATTTTTGTGTCTCATGAGCAGAAAGGAATGCTGAAATCTTCTAAGCCTAGAGCCCCACAGATTGGAGGATCTCTCTCGCCCATCCCCCTCCCCCCATCTCCCACATGTCTGTCTGTGCTGTTTTATCACCATAAAAATTCAGGATATTTGAAGCAGGGCAGGATGTCCATGCTGAAGCCTGCGTGGGGGGACATGCAGTTTTGAGCATGCTCATTGTTCCTGGGGATACTAGGTAGGCTCGACATTCAGCCCCAAGTTGCATACAGGAAGAACTTCTGGAGGCAGAGAGCTAAGTCAGAGAAAATTGAGAAGCACTTCCTGTTCATGTCATGTTGGACCTGACATGCGGTGCTGAAACGGAGAAGAAAGGGAGTACCAGAGCAATACCGTTCTCAAAGCAGAGACGAGCAAGCGGGCCACACCCAACCTATGAGCCAATCACACACCTCTGTTGTTCCTGATCTCCCTAGACACTGTAGCTGTCCCAACCCTGTACCTCCAGAGAGGAGTTTCCAGAGAAAATAGAAAACTATTCCTGAAAATTTGGATTTCAAGAAGCCCAAACTGAATGAGATGAGTATTCCTAGGTTTGGTGATGCAGCCAGCAGCCAAAAAAAAAAAAAAATCACCATGGTATTAGCTATGGAAACTAGAAGATTTGGCTGCCCCCACCCCCCAATCCCCCAAGCTGGAGGAAAGGCTTCTCACCAAAAGAGATAGTCAGCATGAAGGACTGAGGGGGAAAGCACTCTCTCTCGTGCTGACTGGGAACAGATATGCTAGTTGTGTGTCCCCAGCAGGTTGCCTGAGAGGTCTGGGCTCTCTCCCCTCATTTGTATAGGGGAGCAAAACCTACACTACAGAATTGTTAGTCCATTCCCGGCCAAGCTAATCTTGCTTGTCAGATTGGTGTGACTGGGAAGAGGGAACCTCAGTGGAGGAATTGTTTATATCAGTTTGGCCTGTGAGCATCTCTGTGCAGCATTTTCTTGGTTGCTAATTGACGTAGGAGGGCCAGTTCACCGTGGGTAGTGCCACCATCATGGGTTGCTAGTCCTGGATCATATAAGAAAGCTAGCTCATAAGCAGAAAAAGCAAGCAAGTAAGCACTCCTTCATGGTCCCTGCTCCAGTCCCTGCCTCCAGGGTCCTGCATTGAGCTCCTTGTCCTGGCTGCCCTCTCCTGTGGTCAAATATTCCTCTCCTCCTTAAGTTATCTTTGGCCATGGTGTTTTAGCAGAGCAACAGAGTGCTCACTGGCTCATCCAGGTTCTAGCGTGTGCTGGATCTTTGTGGATCTTCTGGTCTTGTAAATGAACAAGGCAATAAGCAACCCAACAAGCTAGCCAGTGTATATCATCTGATGATATGTAGAATACAAAAACACAAAGCAAATTAAGAAGGAGAGGCATAGAAGGTGGAGCCTTTAAAAGGCAGAGTCTTGTAGAAGATAGTTAGGAGATGAGGGCCAAATTGACCTTGGAAGGAATTGCTGCTGGTCCGTGGGGTGAGTCAGTTCCTGTGAGAGCGGCTTATTATAAAGTGGGGTTGCTTTGCAAGCACACGGCCAGCTCTCTTTCTGTTATGCCAGCACCATGCTTTTTGGGTGCTGCAGCCACTAATATGAGACAACTAGACCCTATTTTCTTTACAAATTCCCAAGCCTCTGTAATTTAGTAAAACACCAAAAACAGACTCGAATAGGAATAAAAATAGCCAATGGAAATTGATGAGCTTAAATCATACAAGGAATTATAAACCTGGGCTTTATTTCCAATTGGTATTTCCTTTGAAGGCTCTGAGCATGACCATACTTGGGACCATGCTTAGGCTGGTGAGATGGCTCAGGAGGTAAAGGCACTTGCCACCAAGCCTGGCGACCTGGGTCCCATCCCTCACACGGTGGAAGGAAAGAACCAACTCCTGTCCATTGCCTTCTGCTCTTCACTCATGTGCCCATACACAAACACACAGCAATAATGTTCTAAATTAAAAAATGAGCAAGCTCATACTGGCTACTGTGCTTAGGAGAGACTCACAGAAGTAAGAATGAATCTTGGAGACCAGTTAGGATGCTTTAACAATCATTGAGCTGAAATGTGGTGGTTGCGTTGCCCATAAGAGCAAATCAATCTGAACTTACTCTGAAGGTAGAGTTCACCTGATTGGCCTATGCAAGTGAGAGGAAGAAGTGAAGGAACTCCATGAGTGACAGGTGTGAAATGCCTTCCTACGGTCCAGCTTAGTGGGAAACTGAGACTGGATTCACAAGGTCAAGGCCATGAAGATAAAAGAACTTAGATTCCCCTTGGGAGAGGACTTTGAGCCAATGGGTGCAAACATGGGCCCTGAGTGAAGCTGTCTACAATCCATCAGATCTCCCTACACCAGAAATAGAGCTCAACTCTTTTCCAACCTAACAAACACCCTGTTGACCTTCCTCCTTCTCTCCTTAACCCAATTAAAGGGTGGATTTAAGTCATCTCAAACTTCAGAATCAACATGACCAACCACTGCAGACTCTCATTCCCACTCTCAGGCCTTCCCCATGATTATGGATTGTATGTCCTCAAAACATAAACCGAAATAAACCAATCCATCTTAAAAATTAAAAAGGGGGATGGGTTTATATAAGTTAGAATGAAGTAGGATGACGTAATACATTATTCTACAGGGTCATTCATGTAGGGACCAAACCTAAGTCCAAGTCTATTTTAATATAGCTCCACCCACTCAGAGCACCCAGAGCTTGTCCTAGATAACTCCAATGGAATTAGAATCTCATTCCTCATTTGCTCATTTACTAATTAATGAAACTTAGTGGTGTCAGCTGCACGCCATAAAACGCATGCTGCAATCTGAAGTATATCCCACTCTTTGGCAAAATCATATACCTCTGCCCCTAATCAAGCATTCTTAGGTGCCTCTATTGTAAATCAAGTTTTCCATGTAGAATAGCAGGCAGACTTTTCAGATTGCTGATTAATGGAACTGTGTGGGCTGGAGTCAGCTGGGGAGCTTTGAATAACTTCCACCACCCAGAACCTTCAAAGGTGCTATCCTTGTCACTTGGCTACATTTAGTTTCCTTTGATTTTTCGGAAGAGATGAGGCAGCTCCAGCCTGTGTCTCCCCTGGCTTTCCCCAGACACCGTAAATGATGTTGGCAGCCTCCCATATCTACCACTCACACAGTGAAAATCTATTCCTCCTTCTCTTGCCGCGTTTAATAAACTTTATCTGGAACAATTTCTTGTGCGGTGGCAGAACACGGCACTTATATAACGCACTATTTCAGGAGCACTGTTCTCTGGGGCTCTGAAGCACAGCCCATTTCTCCAGTGCTGTGATTGAGGGAATGGTCTGTCTCCGAGAAGAAGGCAGCCCTGAGACTGAGACTATAAGTGGTGACAAGAGCCTCTACAAAGATAGGTTCGGGGATGATGGACAAGTCCTCCTACCCTAAAGAAACCTAATAGTCAAACTCTTTTCCACAAGGAAAGCCAGGAGGAAACCACTGTTTATAACCATCCCTAGAACCACCAAGGAGCAAAATGCCCCATCCATGGCCAGCCTGTAAAGACATGTGCTTGCTTGGGTTTATGTGTGACAGAGGGAATTTGTCGGGTCAAACTACTTGGGCTTGATGTGTAGTTGAGAGGTAGGGTGCCATGTTTAGCATGTCTGAGCCTCTGAGATCAATTCCCAGCTCGTGGAATTAAAACAAGGAAAGAAAGAGAGAGGTGAAGAGATGGGGGAGGGACGCTGTCTGAGCCCCTGGTATGGAAGTTTAAGACTGTATAAGAATAGATGAGAGCCAATAGGGCGGGTTTACAGAGATCCTGAAACAAGAATATGGAGACAAGATTAGAAATCTATCAGAAAGCTAGAGGTGGCCTGAGAACCTACACACTATTAAAAGAGAGAGAGAGAGAGAGAGAGAGAGAGAGAGAGAGAGAGAGAGAAATAGCCAGAGGCCAGAGGACTGCTGCAGGGCCCTCCACTGGGTTCTCAGACTCCAGGACCAGGAAATTAACATAGATGTAGGCCTCGTGTGAGTATCCCACTTGCACAGACGAGCCACATGAGATGTCTCTCATTCCAGAGTCAAACGCTGTCCTGTATCCTGATATGTGCTTGCTTTCGGCTGCTTTTCACCCTCTCACAAGGCAGTCACTTGTAGTGGGTTAAAATGATCCACTCATCTGCTCAAACTGCCAGCCATGGGAACTCCTGCAGAAAGAAAGAACCAAAACCCCAGGCATGGCACACCAAGATGGTGGGTCTATGGCTTGTTTGTAGAATCTGTGTCCTGTGTGGGGCAATGAAGGCGTGACTCATGCATCTACCTTCTGGGCCTGCCAGCTGATGGCACAGAACAGATACCTGTTTCTGAAAGCATCAGTAGGCACCATACCCGGGTTCGGCCTGCAGAACTGTTCTTTGTACTCTAGAATCCTGGGCTGTGGGAAACAGAGCCACAGAGCAAAGGGACCCAGGCCACAGACATAACTCTCTATCCTCAGCCCCCCATTGAGACTGGAAGGGAAATGAAGACACTCATCATCCTCCATGGCATCCTACACAGTGTATCCCCAGCCCCTAACGTCTCCCAAATTACAGAGGAGAGAGGCTTCAAAAGCCTTTGGTGGCCTCAGATATCAGTGCTCCTCTTCCGCCATCTTGGGATTGTCTTGGTCCGAGTCAAAGCAGCCATGGTTGAAGCCCTTTGGCTCCACTTTTAATATCTCTGTTTGGGCTTTCCGTTTTCCAGCAGCAAAAGCAATGCTTGGAAAGTCTGACAACTCTTTTCTCTAGTAAGACTTCACTGAATATTATATTTCTTTCTTCACCCAAGAGGCAGGAGAGTTTGCCCCTGATTGACTCTTTGTACCTGACTTTTGTGGTGTTCCTGGTGCCTTGGGGTGCTAATGTGGGGGGTTTGGGAGAGAGCATGAGCCAGAGCCAGATCCCATATCATCTCAGGTCTTGATGGGAGCCTGTTGGTTTTTACTCCCTCCAGTCAAGAAAAAGGAGGTGCTGATCAGAGCAAGTGAGTACATGAGCCACCTTCTGGAACAGGGCCTCCTGCATTTCTTCGTCACAGCACGAATCAACGAGACAGGCAACATCCTGGCCAAGCAGAAGTCCACAGTGCTGACTATTCCCAAGGTCGTCATCAAGGTCAGTGAGCATTTCATCTCAGACAGGGAAAGGGGGAAAGTAGTCAGGTAGGCAGTCTCTCTCTCTCTCTCTCTCTCTCTCTCTCTCTCTCATGTGTGTGTGTGTGTGTGTGTGTGTGTGTGTGTGTGAGAGAGAGAGAGAGAGAGAGAGAGAGAGAGAGAGAGAAAGAGAGAGAGGTTTCAAAAACATAATGGAACTAGGATCCTCCTGTTCTTTGAAAGAAGCAAGCCATCCTATATATAGTCATGTACATGTAACACTCCTCTTCTCTCCTTATTTAAATATATAGATGTGACTGCAGATATAAATATAACCTGTGGTATAAACACACTTGTGGAGGAAGATAAAGATGTGTAATGGAGACAGAGACTAAGAACTCTGTGTCTTCAGAATAAAGTGGGTCAGGCTTACAGACTACCTACATTGTCTCACCTGCATTCTGGACAGTAATGTCACTCTCTGAGGTGTTGATTGTGTACAGTAGGATTATACAAGCTGGGGTGCTGAATATACATATGACACGTACTGTAAGTACCAACAAAGTGGAAATATATATGATTTCCAGTTCTCCAGAAAGTTCCTTCCTGCATCTTCCTGTTTACAGTCCTCCCCACTCACCACAAGGACAAATTTTCTGGCTTCTGTCACCGTGGCTTCTTTTGCCCACTTAGCTGATAACTTTAGTCATGTCTCTTCCAGGACTATAGGAAATTTCTTCTTAAATTACTCAGGGGGTATGGGTAAAGAAAGCTTGGGGGATGGGATTAGAAGACAGAAATGAGAACCTGTTTTATCTGCTTCTCACAGCATATGCTATCAGTAGACAGCCTTACCCAAGATGCCTTCCTCTCATGGAAGAAGGAAATCAAGCATCCCGTGATCACCTTGGAAAGTGACATTTTATGCCATCTAGGTGTGGACTTAGAGGCCTTTCCCTGGTGTCTGGAGAGCTTTCTTCTCTGAAATGACTGAGCAATTGGCATAGATCCTGCTAACATGAAGCTCCCTAAAATAATCAGAGAATCCGAGAGGCCCCAGAGATGGGGCACTGGGCAGAAATGAGAGGTGAACCTTGATTCTTATGAACCATGGGTTTCTAAAGCTAGTGACTATTGTGCAGCATTCAATATGGCTGCTCTGCATGGTCACAAACGGGGCTCCAGCAGCTGCCCTCAAACTATATATCACACATATAACTGCATGTCCAACACTCAATAACTCCTCCAGATGAACAGTACAAATATTTTCATTTTATAAATGAGAAAACTGAAGTACAGAGAGGCTTTAAACCTTGTGTAAGATCACATAGTCAAGAGGTAGAGCGAAGCCTCCGACCCCAGCAGCCTGGCTACAGAAGCAGAATGAGAACTGTCTCACTCACTTCTCAAAGTCTGGCTCTCTGTAGGTGGTATAGGAACCACCCCAAGACGAGGCTCACCCAGACCTGAAACTGTATAAGACCCACTGAGGCAGAGAATGCTATTCCCTCTGCATCTAGAAAGGTCTATGTCATCATATCTCTTGTTTTTTAACTGCAACCACTTATCATAGACCCCTTGTGACTGGTACTGTCTGCACAATGGGCCTTAAGAGGCAGAATGCAAATGAGGATGTATAGGCTGAGAGAGAATCAGAATTCTGTAGTAGAAGTAGGTAGAATCTGACACAAATGCTAAGCAGGAAAGCGGGCACATGGGATGCTCTAGGGGTGCTAGCCTTCCATGAGAGAATGAATTCAGTAGCTTGGAGCTCAGGGACTACAGTAGCAAGTGTCACTCTGGCTCTCCCACAGTCAAGAGCCTTATTGAGCTCCCTCCGCTACATAGTGAAGGTATCTTTTGCTGCTCTTAGGGGGGGATGTTAAGCAGGGATTGTGCCCGTACTCAGACCTCTGTCTTTCCCACCAGAGGCAGAGTTCTCATGCTCACCTCATTATGAAGCAATGGCTTGTCCCTGCCAAGCTCCCCGAGAAGCCTTTCCAAGATGTGGATTTTGTGCTTAGACCACAGCACAAAACAGAATTTAATTGCCCCGCTGATAATAAACTGTGTGCATGGAAAAAGCTGATATCTTTGATCTTTTTAGGTATTATTAATTAGAAGGGTTATTTATTTAGGTATCTGCTTGATTCTTTAAGAGTAACTGAACTCTCCAAGATGGATCAGTGATGTCTCATTCTACAAGTTAGTAGACCAGAGAAGAACTTGAACCAGGGTTGGTGGAGTTTAGTTTGGGTTGGTTTCCATGACAGAAGCAGGGGTGCTAGCTCCGGAGCAAGCTCATTCAGAGCTAAGGCCATTGGCTGAGACTGAAGTATAAGAGGAAAGGAAGTTCTGATTCTGTCCAGTACGGAGCCTGTCTGGAAAAATCATTGATGGGCATTTGTAATGAGTCTTTCTCTGCCCCGCTAGCCAGCTCCCAAATAATGACAAGAAGACTTCTTAATTATGAAAGCTCAACCTTAGCTTAGGCTGGTTCCTAACTAGTTTTTGTCACTTAAATTAAGCCATTTCTATTCATCTACATGCCACTATATGGCTTTTACCTCTCCTCCTGCTCCTTCTGTGTCCATCTGGTGATTCCCCCTCTCTCCTTCCCAGAGCTCTCTCTGTCCAGAACTTTTATATGTACCTCCTGCCTTGCTATTGATCATTTAACTTTTTATTAAACCAATCACAGTGACATATCTTTACACAGTGAAATCAAATATCTCACATTGTCATGCAAGTCTTAACCATTAACCCATTTTCTCCATACAATGTTTATATAACCCTACCAAGTCACCGAGCCTCTCAAAGTCTGTTTTCCCACTGCAGAGAGAAAGGCAACAGCAATTCTTATGTCATGGGGTCTTTGTGTTGACTGAGCAATGGATGTCTGAAGACTAGATTACAATAGATACCTGATATATGTCACTGGCTCTTACTGTAGTTGCTTCTCTTCATAAGTGACTGGCTCGTGATCATACTTGACTAGCGAAGGTCAGAAGCCTCTATCCTCGGCCTTTTGTGGTGTGAATGTGACTTCTGGGCCACATCGTTCTCACACTGGGAATTTTATAGGCAGCAGGAATGATGACAGCTTCAATAAAAAGGTTTGTGTGTTACAAAGTGGGGAGATTGCAGCTTTAATGAATTATCAAGAATTTATACTAGAAGAATAGGCTATCTTTAATGAATGATTATCATTCAACCAGCAGAGATGGATAGAGAAACTAGTTTAGATACTAGAGAAAGGCGTGAGAAAGTGTGTCAGTGGAGGTAGAGACAGAAGTGTCCTTTTTAGGGTAGAGGTTGTGAGCCAGGTAAGACTATGGGTACCCACAAAAAAAGCATGTAGGGCCATTTTTAGTTGAGTCTAGAATGTGTGGACAAAACTTTGTCATTGGCTCCACGAACAACAAAGCATTGATAGAAATTCATGACCATGTTTGTGGCATGATCCTCTCTGCCTCCCAAGAGGTCTCCTGTCTGCTTCTACAGAATCTTTGCCCCGAAGTGTTGACTTCTGGGACTCTCTTGTTTGACCTTAGGAATTGGTCACCTGGAAGCTAGAGTCCAGCTGTTCTCCCACCTCCATTTCCAGAGCAAGACTAGACATCCTGGGATGATAATGATATGCCCATCAGAATCTAATCTACCGGTCACCAAAGCAAAAGGGCCAGTGGCCCTTAATCCCGATGGGCACATATCAGACTTAATTCATTCCCATGGCAATAGAGGCTGGGTTTGAGCTAAATTTGTTCTCATTTGACTGTGCCCAGCACCCAGCGCTCGTGAATCACCGTGTGGGATCCTCGTATGGAAAAACGGCAGGGGGAGATGCTCATTAAACTTTAATGAGCATGCATCGCTTTTCCCGTGCTATCAAAATATTTTGATGAGAAAAGTATATTTTATTAAAAGCAGACTTGGAAGTTTTTTCTGCCTTCCCATGTGTTGATTGTCAAAAGCTGCTTCAAGTCAGGGTGGGGAGGCTCTCCAGCATTTTAATTGCTAATGAGCAGTTGCCTTTTGGAGAGGAGGGGCAACAGACAGAACCAACCTGGTCTCCAGACTACATACACACTTGTCTAAGTACCGTGACCCGCAGGGTGGGAACAGCAATCTGATGGGGTTCTCTGCTTCTCACCAATGAGGGCTAGTAGTTCTTATGCTCAAGATGGGCAGCAGCAGCTGTGGAAGAAAGCAGGCATGCACAGTACCGGGCTAGCCTCCAGACCCATATTCCCGCCTAAAAGGCACGGAGCTAATAGCATCTTTGCAGCCACTATGGGCTGGTCATAATAGGTCACCTAGGGAAATGCCACTGCTGAAACTATGAGTAAAATTCAATGAAGGCCCCATTTCACCCTGCACTTACACCTACATGTCTGTGTCTATGCAGGCTGGGAAAGTGAGACAAGTCCACCCACTCACCAACCCTTCCCTACCTGGCCTCGGTATACAATGGTTTAACCCCGTGTCCAGATTTCATCTAGCCCTAGGTACTAGCAGATAGTAGCATGGTTTGTCCCAATAATGATCATAATGCTGTGCTCCAACTGGAGTCTTTCATTGCACACCTATGATTCTTGCTGAGGTTTCCAGGCCATCTTCTTAGAACCCTGACTCCGTGTGTCTCTGTAGTGAGGCACGGAAGATGCTAAGGGGCGTTCTGGGTCCTGTTCTCTCAGAATCATCCTGACTTATATATACTCCTGTGTCTCAAAGGACATATTAACATTTGGGAAGCCCCTTGGGATGCAGTCAGTATCCTGAACCACTTAACAGTTACTAGGCAAGGGATGATAAAGCTTCCCTTTGCTCTCTGGGAGCATAAATGTCCAAATTTTAATCAATGCCAAGTAGAAAAGCAAAGGGCTCATCCCTGCGCCCTATGCTAAAGGCTTGGGAACTGACTACTTTCCCTTTTCTGTGTGACAAACTTCGTGTATATCAACTAAAAAGCAGAAAGGGTGATTTTGGCTCACAGTTTCAGAGAATCAGTCTGCAATCAGT